GCTTCCAGGAGGAGGAGGAGGAGGTCCCGCTCAAAAAAGAGAAAACGCATTTCACCGTCCGGCTGACAGAGCTGAAACCTGCTGACAAGGTGAAGCTGATCAAGGAGGTGAAGAACTTTGTGCCAGGAGTGAACCTCGTGCAGGTGAGGAGGGGACTGCCCGAGGCTCCAGCCACCCACCGGAGCCCGGACGGGTTCTGAAGCACATTGCAAGCAGCAGCCTCAGTTCTCTGTTCAAAAGGGAGCCTGGATTTCCATGTTTAAGAGAACACTCTACCTGTGTGCACACTTCAGTGCAAAGATGTGGACAAAGTGTAGAACGGGAGTTGGTTGCATCTCTTTAGTGTTTTTTAGAGAAGGCTGTTCCCTCTCAGTTCTGCTGTGTGGTGAACAACTGAGCCCCTAGCGGATGCAGTGAGATGAAGAAAGAGGCTCAGAGCTAAGACCTCAAAGTCCTCCATGCCAGCCTTACTTTCTCCATATCTAAGGGCTGCTGTGGGCATTCCTGCAGAACTTGGGAGTAGTCAGGATTCCTCATTATAGCTGGATTTGGCTTGCCTGCCCCTAAGGCTTTTTGGTTTTTCAAGGCCAAATATTTCTGAATTTAGATAAGTTTCTCTACTTCACATGTCTTGCAATCCACACTTCCAGTGCTTTTCAGAGCCTTCTTTTTGTAGGTGATGCCTCCTTCTTTTTCCCCAGGGGAGACAGGCCTTTCACAGTCCTGTGCAGCCTGAGCTCATGCTCTTGAGCAATGATTATAGGCTCAGAACAAAGAATGGGTGATACAGCTGCCTCTGTGGAAGCATTTGACATGCTTCAGTTCTCCACTGGATGATGCTTTCATATCTTGGGAATAATAGTAGCACTTTCTGTTTATCTAATTGCAAGGAAGAAAGGTTGAGCATTGTAAAATCTGTCCGTATTTGTAGCATGGAATGTCAGAAAGCTTTGCAGAAAATCTTCTCACCTGTTCATATTGATATATAGCAAAGCAAACAGTTCAAGAACGGAGAAACTCTTATGGCAGAGATGTGAGTTTTTTTGGCTTACTGCGTTTAATTAACTGACTATTGTCTTGGTTAGTCTGGCAGTTGTTTATCAGTCACAAGCAAACATTAAAATACCAAAACCCTGTAACGGACATGATCAGCAGATAATTAAAAGCTGTCTGGAGAACTAACGCTAAATCACCTTGGCTTAGCATGTGGAACCTGTCAAACAAGCTGGTTACAGTTCCGATGCAGGTACAACATTGGTAGATTCAGGTTATTGTGGGTAAACTTTGTCAAGCATGACTTACCTGACCTGGTATTTTGTTTAAAACACAGACACGCAAAACAAGCTACTGACAGTTGGTTCTGGGTACTGAGGTTGTATTCAAAGTGTAGGTGATAGATTTTTATTGTAAATTTTATTGCCATCCAACTGAGGTGTTTTTAATGAGATTTGCAGGGAATGTATTCTTGTCCTGTAAGGCTGTTAATGATTTGGAAGAAAGGGTTGCTAGTAAAATCTTTGCATGTTGGGTGCTGATGTGACTCAAATAGGTCACCCTACAGAAATGACTGCTTGATGAGACAGGTGTGTCGTCAGCACAAGCCGTGCTCGAGTCTGTTTGCACCTCTGAAATCTTGTTCAGAGCCAGCCCAACAGACATTCACCTCGCGTCTTCACCAGGCCTGGTGTTCTCGTATGCTCCGGCTGGGACTGGAAATGCGTTGCCTCTTTGTCCTGTGGCTGTTACTGTGCAGGTCCAGCTTAGATCAGGCCCTGCTCTTCCTCCTGCTGGGAGTGCTGAACAACTGCTTCCTTTGACTGAGGCTGCTTTAGCACAGAAGTTAAGCATTAGTGAGCAAGAATCTTAAGTGAATAACCTTGATTGTGTTGCCTGTCCTCATCACAGCAAGCCAGAACAGGCTTCTTTCCAGAAACTGTCCTGGGCTCTGGTGAGTGAAGGCATGCCTGCCCTGCCTGCACAGCTACACCTTCTTACATTGTCGCTGTGCTCAGCATGAATTAAAACAACCGTCTTTCTGTCGGCAATGATCAGTCTTTTGGGCACTAAATACCTGCAGTGCCACACGGCAGAGAGCTGGCAGCAGCTCTTTGCCGTAGGAACCACCCTGGACTTTGTTTTCAAGGAGCTGAATAGCTTTGTTGCTGCCACTTGGTGTAAGAGCAAGAGCATCTAACAGCAGCAAGGGCTTATCCTCCTGCACTCCCTTCCGTTTCTGTGCAACAGTACTGCAGGAAGTCCCTTTAAATCAGTTCAACAGCTTTTCAGCTTGCCTTAAATACTGCAGTACTGCATAGTACCAATAGTTTTGTATAAAAAGTCCTGAAAATATCAGGATTGTGTTAAGCATAGTTGGTACTGGAACTCTTTTTTTGACCTGGTACAGTGGATTCTCTGAGTCCCCCAGCCTGGCTGTGTACAAACCCTGCGACAGCCTCTCCTCCCCACTAGTGGAAATATGTGAAGCAAAACATTTGCACTGAAAAAAGTTGACCCAACGCAGGCTGGCAGCTGCCTTGGCAAGTTGCTGCATGGATCATGCACATGGTGGGAGGAATTTGTGGGCAATTACTTGCTGAAAAAGGTCTTACAGGGCTGTAGTGGATGTGCTGTCACTTGCAGTCAAGTTTAGATGTCTTCCATCAGGATGTGCTGTAGTTCCAGTAAAATCTTGGGTTTTCGACCAGTTGGTGAGTTTCCCTGGTCTGCTTATGCAGAGGTCAGGCTCATGGCTCTTAAATCTGTTAATCTGGTTAGTGAAAGCCAGTTTACAAGACTTGTACTTTGTCCCTCCCACAGGCAAAGAAGCTGGTGGAGTCCCTTCCGCAGGAGATCAAAGCTAACGCCTCCAAGGAGGAAGCAGAGAAGATCAAAGCGGCGCTGGAGGCAGCAGGAGGGACTGTGGTTCTGGAGTAGGCAGCATCATGTCATCACGGAGGGACTTGCGTGATGGCAGCCTTCCCCGCTGCCGCCTGCCTGGGCATCGTCCGTCACCTGAGTGGGGTCTGGGTGTTTCCGAGTGCGAGACATCCCCTAGTTGTGTGGTGGGAATGCTCTCTCGAAGCGATGCAGTGCAAAAATGCTCTGGTTTGGTGGGGCTGCTGTCTAGTTGCAGCATCACAGTGAACTCTACCTTCGTAAATGTCAAAAAAACCCTGTAAAATGCTTAATCTCTCAAAAATCAGTGCTGTCTGCTTGTCCCCTGGGCTCCACGCGCCTACCCCAGTACTGGTGCTGCC